AAAATGCCCACCATTTCAATCGCTGATGTCCACTACACACTCAGAAAATAAACATAATGAGAAGGGATTTATGCTCTTTAATGGTACGTCTCTTACAGAATTCACACATCGATCTGGCCTCACACGGGGCACCAAAGAATATATGTGGGGGAATTGTAGTTATTGAAAAGTTGCTAAATTATAAGTTTTTATAATTTATTAACTTAATAAAGAAATTGGGGCACCACCTGTCAAATTTAACAGGAAATTAATCTCGTATTTTTGACTTAATCTCATGTACTGAAGAACGGAGTGCTTCTTGGTTTTATGACGGTAAAACAGAAATAAAAGACGCACAGACAAAGCATAAATTTCACAACATACCCTATATTGTGGATTAAGAGAGAAAAATTACATCACAAGTCGTGTATGGTAAGCAAAGACATTTGCTATCACAACTGCTATGAATTTAAAATAACAAATGACATCACTTCAGCCAACCACTTCTAGTAATTTTACGCTACAGAATCATAACTCACTATTATCTATTCTAACAAAAGGAGTGAAAACTTTACAGATTAATAAAAGAAAGTGTTAATTCATTTATCAAGAGGGGAGGTGAATTATAAGGGGAATCAACTTGCCAGCTCTTCTTTCAATCCAATCATAGCTACCCAGAATGCTCTCTCTCTCTCTCACCGCTTCAGCTGAGCACACCACCAAAGCATAGACAGCTGTTCTTTTCCTACCAATTCGATGCAAACCAGTCAGTTCTGTCCCAGGGTACCAGAAGGTAAGAGCGAGGATGAATCACCGGTGCCGCTCGGTCTCAAAGGGGGTCCCGTGTGGGTACAGCTTGGATGCACCGAGACAGTCTGGGGTCAGCTTCAAGCTGGAGATGTGGAGGTCGGTTCGGGTCCCGTGTGGATCGAACTGAAGTTCTGGTTAGTTCAGTTTCCCGAACAAATCTCATCCCTACACTACAAAAAAGTAAACTAAAAAAATATAAATAATTTGTCCCCGAAGGGAATGAAGAACCTGAAACTCCTGTCCTTTCTCTCTCGCTGCTGTTTTCAACTCTACTAACAATAAAAAATGTTATCTCTTTTCCTGACTGTACAAACTTCTGATTGGCTGAGATAGTCACATGGTTGTCATCAGCTTCACTGGCATCACGGTTCATGCTGCTAAAAATGATTAAACAATACAGATTGATGGGGTTACTTGCACAGTGATTAAATCAAGATATTATCACAGTGATTGAGTCATGATAGAAAAATACAATGTTTCTTTTTCTTTTCTATTTTTTATCAGATGAACAAACAACAGAAATTTACCCAGAAAAACATTTGTTCATGATGTGATTATGAGACCAGCCTTTTGGGGGCACTCTAAGACCATTAATGAGTTTGTATGTTAGGCATGCCTTTGAAGGCTGTTCGTGGGCATTATCTCAGCAGGGAATATAGTCTGCTAGGGTCTAGGTGTGGATTGTAAACCCACCTCTATAGACTTTCAGTCTGGCAAATGGTGGGTCCTTTGTGATAAACGGCCATTTCGAACACTTGAAAGGGATCTCACAACAGGGCTTAATCAATTGCAGGTTGCAAATCCTGTTTACTTTAACACTTGTAGATAGTGAAGACAAAGGGGTTGAGGGCAGTGGAGGAAGCCGTTGTTCTCTGTATATATGGGAGGATGAGGGAGTATTGATTCAAGTTCTGGTGTGGAACTGTTCCTTAAGTTTCTGCTACACAGGACTTGACCAGATTTCCGCCTACAATAATAAACACTAACTTTTCATTGTTTCTCTGGCTCTTTATTGTCAACTTTGGTTTTACTCAGAGTACTCCTTTTTGCAAATCCTCACAATAGGAGTGTTTGTTAGTGCAGTCTCCAGTGGTTTCAAAATACCAATTTGCATAATTCTTCAATAGTTTGAGACAACTCATTTATGCATCTCTTGTCCACCTTGTGCTGTGCCTGATGAGGAGGCACATTCCCTCTGATTACATGCTGGTATTTCTCAGGCACTCTTCCACAGTCATTTTTAAACTGAGCAAAAGTCCCTAAATTCAGTATTTCTCTCAATTTATTTTTTTATCTGTGGCTTCTGACTCACTCAGGATCTTTTCCAATTGCAATTTCTTATCTATTTGCTTCATGAATTTCCCAACATGTACCATGTTCAGGGTTATCATWGGTAGATCTTTTAATGCTAGCAATGTTTTTTCCCTGACGGGGCCAGAAACTCCGGAATACCATTTTTTTCGATTAATCTCATATTAGTTTTTGATCCATCAGCCAGCATAACTGGGGTGGTCTTTTCACTGGAAATTCCAGTTGGTTTATGTACACTCAGATCAGCTGCCGTATCAAGTATGTAATCTTCACCTTCTAATTYGCATATCATCTTCTTGCCATCGTCATGTGCACGGGATACGATGAGCTTTTAACGGTTCATGATTTGAATCCACCTCCATTATTTTTTAATGGCTTTTGGGGCCGATTCTTCAATTTCCATTCTGCTCTCTTCTGTTTCAGCTTCTCTTTCTGCTGAGCTGTCAGTTTGATATATTCCTACAGAGGAAGATGGGGAAGGGCTCAGCTCAGGCACCTTGTTTTCCGGAGGGCGTTAAGAGTAACCTCCGGCCTGCCTGTTTTTTGTTATCTTGTTTTTGTTCTGTGTGTTAGGAACCCTAAATTCACTTGTTTCAACATTTTGTGGTCGTTTTTCCCTCTTTGCTCTAAGCAAATTAGATTTTGCATTAAAAGCCTCTACTCTCCACTCCAGCTCATGAGGCAACAGCTTACGGACCTCAGCACATAAATCAATGCCACCATGCACTCTGACCAACATTTTCTCCAGATACAGGACGTGATGAGTGGGTGGAACTCTGACTAAAAGTTCATGAGTAGCCATCATCAGAGTGGACTCTCCAGCATTGATCTTAGAGGCCAAATTCAAGTCCGGGCTTTCAATGGGATCTTGTCAAGGCATCCTAGAAAGACTCTTAGCAACATCCAAAACAGTMATTTCAGGCGGTATGATTAGACCTTGCTTGCAATTGAAAAAAGCTGTTGACCTGTTAACTTTTCTTCACAATCCCTCTCCATTTTACTGACCTCCCTGTGCATTTTAGAGGCTCCAGCTTGGTGGTGTATTGATGAATAACCGTATAAAATTTGTAGAGCAGTGAAAAAACATCACCATTAGCAAAATCACCATCTATAGAGAATGCAGGTAAGCAGTAAGTACTCTGCAGGTTCATTTGATTGATGAATCCTCAGAACTAACACCATCACTAGATAGAGCCTCTAAAGGCATGATCACTTGTTTCAGACCATCCAGAGACCCACCCAGGACAACAACTAACATCAGTTCCAACAAACTCACTGCTATTCTAAAG